TGCCTGGGCCCACCTTGTCCTGGCAATCCAACTCCACTTACCATATGCAATTTGCACTTTTCCCGGAGACTGGCAGGCCGAATGGGGAAGGTTGGATGGCGGCGTTAAGAGCAGCATGAGAAATTAATGAGCAAACGAGCGGAATGCTTTTTAAAAGTGTTAAATAAATAACAAATGGCCATTTGCCGGACTCCCCACATGGCCATTGTTGTTGGCCTGGTCAACCTGTCTGCTCGGTGGAAGCAAGCGGCTTACAGGTGCCCATAGGTGCGGTGCCCTGGTGCGAAAGGCAGAAGCAACACTTGCTCTCAGTTTAGTTAGGTTCGGGGAATCTTAAAGGAGAACAGACACCAAAGACTGAAATTCAGGCTTTAAGTCAAGTTTGATTTATCAGCTTCAAATTGTACATTTTCTTTTAAATATTTTCTAAAATAAGTAAGTATTTATATCGATTCATTCCATATTTATATATATCATTACATTTCCTTTAAGGAAAAAAGCTGGTGGATGGTATGACAATATGGCACCGATGGTGTTATGTCTTTATCGCTGTGTGGTATTTTCTCTGCACGTTTCCCTAATATTTATGCGCAGTTTCTTTTTTTGTGATTTCCCCTTTTGTTCATCAATTTGCGTGCACATGTTCAAAGCAAAGCGTAACGGAGCAAAAATATATACATAAATAAGTAATTTTTATATTCCATCAAGCCAGGAGCAGTGAGAAGGCCCTGGAATGGGAATCGCTGTGTGCGAGAGGGTATGAGTGCGGAAAATATTTATAAAAATTCCCTTTTGTTTATTTATAATCAGTTTGTGCAGCGGAGCGCTGGCTGTGCCCTTCCACCTGCCAGACCCTCCTTCGGATCGCGGGTTATCCGCCACGCCCCTAGCTCCATCGCCCTCTCCTATTTTCTATTGCATACAGCTAGGCGCAAGGTTGCTGGGAGCTAGCAGCTGCAAAGAGATTGTATATATGTGTGTGTGTGTGTGCGGCTCATTTGGTATGCATAAACGCATTTTTATGTAAATTGAAAAATATTTCGTTGGCGAAAAAAAATGGGATATTTCTCCCTTGGCCCTCTTGCTTCGTTTTCGCCCACGGAATTTCCCCTTTTCGATTCTTTTTCGCACATGGCTTATTGCATGTTGAGGTAATTGCTGACCATGCCAACCCTCGGATAGAGGCTGTTGAATATCGGATTCCTATCGGCACATATATGCCCTTGCCAATTGCTAATCAACGGCTTCGAACAGAGCCATGAACTGAGTACATTAAATCTGATTACTGGAGACGGAGCTGTGGGCACGCGATCGCTGGTTCCGCCAATTTGCATGTGGAGCAGGTGCAGGAATTGAATTTAATTGTGTGCGATATGGGAGCTGGTAGTCAGGTGTAAACAATACCAGGAGAGTGGTGCCACCACAAGCATCTGCACTCGAAGAATCAGCTAAATCAAGTTTAAATTTGATTGATAAATTAGGTCGTATTTAATTTATTCCTTTTAAAAACATTCTAAAAGCATTTTATGATTTGAAATAATATTTATAATATATCTTTAATATTAGGTATACCAGCAATATTTCATTATTTTCCGGCACTTCAATATATTTACAAGAAGAAATACATTTAAACCACAAAAATATAGAATATTATAACTGTATAAATATGAAATAATCGAAAAATTCTATTCCAACTGTACGCCACAATTGAATTCCTTGCTGAATCGCTGAAATGAAGATGCCAACTAAGTTATCAGTTTCTTGTTTTTCCAGCTCCGCCCATCAATATCCGTGTATGCGGTGGTGCCACCTGGAAATTGCATTTGCATATCACCCATGACGTGCCGTAAGGTAATCCAAGGATTTCCCAGTTGTCCGCTCAATATCGGGTAACCGTAAAGATATTAGGGCTGCAATAGCTGCCATCGATAATTCAATTTTGTGCATTATTTTGGCGCTGCTCGATGATGCCCTGCTGCCATTATGTGCTAAGCAAATGCATCCTGAGGCGAAACACCGGAGCACGGGCTCAAAGGAGTCGCTGCAGCCACGTTGGCCTGGCTTATTCCACTCTTTAATTTTATTGTCTGCAGCTTGGCTTTCTCAGCACTCTCTTCTCTTCTCGTCTCTTTTCTTTTCCACGCTACACTCGTCTATAAATTTCATCCGCACTTTCCCCGCCACGCTGGCTCAACGCTTTTCCTCCGTCTTTATGCCATGCCGTAAATAGATTTTCCTTGTTATTGTTCACAAAATGATTTAGGGAAAATTAGGTTTATGTAAATAATGAAAAAAGAAAACGAACTCACGCTGCAGGCCAAAATATCCTTGGATAGATGCCTTTGCCTGGCTGCCATACATACATATGTGATCAATTTCGGGTGTTGTGTGTTGGCAAAGGCAAGCCGGAAGACGCTGTTTGCGGATATCTTACAAAAATTAAACCCAACAACGTCTACGTACGCAAAGTGCCAAGTTTAAGAAAATGGATAAGAGTGTGCAGCAGCATGGCCGATTGGATTATGCATAATTTAATGAAAACATTATGTTTTCAATGGCTTTTCTAAATAAATCCACATATGCCTTTGCTTCGACTAAATTCAAAGCTCTGTTTTTATAATCACAATCCTTTTTATTCGAGGGCCATTCATGTGTGAATAAGCTCTGTTTTTAATGTGTAATCAATCTGTTCGATTTTTTTGTTGTACATATTGGCCTTTATCAGCAGAGCAATTAGTTTTGAAAATTTATTTAAAAATCGCACACACTATTTACGCTATTGTGCTCACATTTTACTACAACGTAGGCAGTTTTGCATATTTATTATTTGTTTATTCTGGGCTGTGACAATAATTCATACTGACAGCCAATTAATCAGAAAAGGACATTCAATTAAGGCACAAAATCGTGTTGTGTAAAAAAGCGCATGAATAGGACAGGCAACAAAATATGTTCGCTATTATTATTTCAAATTTAATGCACCAACAAACAAGTTTTATGCAATCGATAAAGATTCGATAAGCGGCAAATTGCATAAATAATCGTATGTTATTTTTTTTTTTAGATTCACAAAGGACCGCAACAATGGCGACAAAATATGGATGTAATAATGCCAGGGTTCGGGGGCGTAATGGGCGTATAAAATCGGATGGGATTGGCCTGGGCTTTATCCCCGAAAAGTGCGTTCTAATTAACTCAAAAGGCGCTGTAGAAAAACACGCGAAAAAGTGCTTCAAAATATGTGCGGATGTGTTTACATAAAACCCGAGTGGAAAAGCGTGTAAAACGGCGAAAAGAGAAACGGAACGGAGAAAACTGTGCTGGGAAACGCAGGGAAAAAGACACAAAACAGAAAAAAAACGAGGAAAAATCTGTGTCAAACGTCAACGACTTTTTGTTGCTACTGCTGATGATTATGTTGTTGATGTTTCTGGCTTGTCATGACGCGGCAAATTGTGCGAGTTAATGTTAATGCGCTGAATTAGCTTAGAATGGGCAGCGAGTTTGGTGCGGATTTACAGCAATGTTTGCATTCCGGCTTTTCTAATTGCCAGCAAACATGCTTACCGCCCTGTTCACCCGCTCTAAGTATATTCAAAATGCTGCATGAAATAGTTGAGCGCAGTATGTAATTGCTATTTTCGGCCCTGGCCGTATCAGTTCTCCCGCTGTCAGGTACTTATGTTCAAAGTTTTGTAAACAAGTTCACTGATTAGACCCCATAAGTTGCTCCGATAGCGGGAAACACACATAAGCCCGGCAGTTTGTCTTAGTCAGCCGTGAGTCAGTTGCTCTTCCTTCTGCTAGATATGTGCACTACAGATATTATTTACAAGCCCTGTCCGTGGTAATTACAAATACCAACGGAGAACTCTATAAGTCGGTCGGACAGGTTTCTAGATCGCTGTAAGATCAGTCAACTGTACGAGGGCAAACATAAAACATTAAGGGCCCATGAAAAGTACGAGTACGATCCGAAACCAGTTGGGGAACAATAAAAACGTTCGGAAGACGGAAGCTTCAAAGAGACCTTCGAGCTAGTTTCGAAATACATTTCTGTACAGTCTTCCACAACTTCCCGCCAAAAATACTTGGCTCACGGATAGGATTACTTAAACGGTTCAAGATCTACATAGGTGCACAGAAAGAAATTATGTTACTATTTAGTGTTATCAGTTCTAAATGCTTATCCCATTGTTATATTGAAAACGAAATACTCCTCTATGCTAAATTACGATTTAATATATCATAATATTTTGTTTACAGCTTTCTTATAGTTTTATAAGCTTTTTAGTCCAATACTGATTATTATGAAAATAATTAATAATTAATTTTAAATTATTATTAAATAATATTAAATTGTATTAAATGTATTTTTAGTTTTCTCTAACTAAATAATTAATTCGTATCAGTTAAATTTAAGACCAACAAATTTTTAAAAGAATTTCAACAATTCAGTGCGAAATACCGCAGTGTTATTTGCCTTAGCGGCCTGATCACAAGCTCCTAACTAAGCGCTAAGCTAATTGTTTACACCTGACCAAGGTAGCTTCGCTGGGTTTCCAAGCGAATTTCAGACCTTAATTGGCTGTGATATGCTCCGAGTCCAAGGTAATTTGAATGAGATATTTCGACCGAGCTGATATTCGTATCTTGGCAGCGATAAGATACAGGGAACCGGCGAAGCTCGTCAGGTTTCTTTTATATTTTGCAGTTCTATAGTTTCCCGAACTAACGGCATAATCTTTACCCGGCCCCACCACCCCCCATTTTAATTGGCCCAAGAGGAAAACACATAAAGAGCGGAGAGGCGCACAGCGATAAAGACACCGAGAGAGAGAGAGAGAGGGAAAACGAGGAGGAGAGCGCGATTTATAGTCGCTGCTCGTTTTCACTATGTTTTATAATTAAACATGTGAGGTTAGGATAGCGAAAAAATAAATAGAAAATGGAGCAGAGGTGCGCGATGCGGGCACCAACTGAATATTAATTATACGCACCTTTGAACCGATCTGGTTGCCGCACTGGCCCGCCTGCAGATGTACGATTTCCCTCATTTTGAGAACGCTCTTCTGGACCTCGTTACCGGAATGGGGATTGGAATTGGAATCAATTGACTGCAATGACGCTCTCACGCACTATCAGCAATTTTCGGTCACTATATTAAACCGAATCTGAGTCGCAAACACAAGCACACGAACGCACTGGTTTCGGATCGGATCGGATTGGATCCGGAGAAGAGTTAGAAGAAAGCCTCGGGAGCGGAGCGAAACTGAAACTGAACGGAACGATCGACGCGCGCTCGCTTCGGGAATCCAACGTGAACTGAGTGCCCGGCGAGCGACCCGTTGTGGCATTAGTGTCTCTATTGACAAAAGGGGGCGGCATTAGTTGCCCCACTCAGAGAAATGGAGCTAAGGTAATTAGTAAATATATCAAGATTAAATTTGTTACAATTTTTGTTTATCTGGAAAACCTATAAATCTAGAAATCAAAAAGACAGAATAAGGTGAAATGTAAGAAATCCATTGTTGAATTTCTAAATTATGTCAAAAGACTCATTTTACTTTATTTAAAACACTTTATTTACAATCAAAGATATAATTTAATATCTTTTAGAAATATATATATTATATTTACAATTAAAAAAAATGTAAATACATTTTACATACATTTTTACCTGCCAACCTATTCTTCAAATGTTCCCCCCTACAATTATTTAATTGCCCTTATTTTTTAAGTGCAGAGAGCGCCAAGTGAAGAATGAAGAGCGTAGCATGGAGAGTGTAGAATCGAGGTGGTGGGGCATGCAATAGTTTTGAAATAAAAATTCTGCCGGCGACCGCTGAGAGCAAGGTGAGACTTGTGTGTCACACACACAACGCGATGTTTTCCCTGGCCGCATGTTTTTGTTGTCTCTTCTGTTTTCTACATTCTTCGTTCTTTAGTTCCCTTTCTTCTGACGCTTGCCGGTGGCGTCGGAGGCGCCAACGCTGCACTTTTTCGCTCTCCCCCACGCTTGGCTGACCAAATAAGAGAGTGGGGGAGGAGAACGCCGAAGAGGGCAGCCCCAACGAAAGAGAGAAAGAGCGAAGCCCACAACACGTGAGTTTAAGGTGCAGAGAGGTGCACTTTCTACATTCTACACCAGAAGAACAGGTTGTAGAATTATAATTGACATATGCTATGTACGTAAAAAGGAAGAGCTTTTTTTTACACTATTCCTGTGCCATTATAACAATTTGATATTATTTATTATATTATTTTAGGTTGTCAGAAATTGAGAAATGTTAACTTAGTTATAGCCCATTTCCTTGATAGTGCTTTTGATGAACTTGGCATAGTAGCGAACGCTCATGAAGACGTCGGGTTTCTGGTTGTCGCCGCACTTCCACGTCCATGTACTAATGCCACACACCTCACCCCGCCATATGAGAGGTCCACCGGAGTCGCCGGAGCACAGGGTCCGATGGTTGTAGGCGCCGGCGCACAGGACGTTCGGAGGCATCTTGCGTTCTAGCTTCTTCTCGCAATCCTTATGCTCTACGATCGGAATTCGCATGGTGCGCAGGTAGTTCCGTTCGCCGGGTTCCGTACTTTTTCCGTCGGTGCCCCAGCCGGCCACAGTGACTGTGTCGACGTTATACAGCGGATATTGGCATAGCTTGGCGTAGCCAATGCTACGGCCCTTCAGCGGAAACCGAGTCTTGACCACGGCAATGTCGGCGATAAACTTTTTCTTCTTGAAGGCTGGATGCAATCGCACCTCCACCATTCCGTTCTTCCTTATCGATTGGGAACTGGCGTTAAATTCGGCGGTCATTCCGGCCACTACATGGAACTCGGACTGGTCCATATTCTCGAAGCAGTGTGCCGCCGTGATAAGGTGTCGTGTGGTTAGCAGAGTTCCCGTGCAGACGAGTTTGGTTTTGTAGAAGATCTGAACGCCAAATCCACCGATAATGCCATTTGCTGTAGATTTACCATTGTAGATCCTGGGCTGAATCTTCGGATCGGACTCCTCAGCCCCTATCCCAGACGAGGACATCAGGATGAGTGAGACGAAGAGCGACCAGTTAGATGGCATTGTTACGAATAACTGGAGGAACAGCTTGGAATAATTATGATTTAATATTTTTCGCCTTTGCCTTGAAATTGATTCGTTTCATTTAAATTCTTAACAGTGACTTACAAAATGGAATTTATAAACAAACTATAGTATCAAAATAAGAGTTTAGGAATAAATAATGTAAATATTCCTTTTCCTTTTAACCCGTAATATTTAAAGATACATTTCCTGTATTTTCAGTTACCTAAAATTATCTTTCTCACATCAATACCCAATCGATTTTCCATTCAAATCTTAAGTTTCTTAAAATAGTACTTTTCAACAAAAGACAAACGAATTTTACTCGTCGTAAAGTTTGGATTCAAGGCGTTGAAGGACTTGGCTTTTCATGAAGCAGTTCCACTGGCCAATGGGAACGGGGCCATGACAGCGGCGTCGCCGAGTCGATTACGCGAGGAGTTCTCTGTGTGAGTGGAAAATTTAACCCATTTTCCTTTGAGGATTCCCATTGGTCTTTTTGTGGAATCGCGGCACGTTTTGTTGCCAGTACATTTGCGGTTATATGCTCATTGCAAGCACACACGCACACCCGGACATATTTATGTGTGTGTGTGTGCGTGCGGCTCTTGCCAAATTGTCGATTTTATTATTTGTGTTTATATGATTTTTCAGCTGTTCTGCATTTTAAAGGAAACCGGAAAATAGATAGGAAGATAGAGGCAGAGAGGCGGAGGACTGAAGGGGTTTTCTCTTCGTAGCATGCGAGGCGCGTCTTCAACCTCATTTCTTATTATAATGTGAAAAATATCCTTTTACAAATTCAAAACGTTGAAATGTGTGATTTCTTTTGTTGCCGATTTTAACTGCCAGATAGAGAGATACTATGGCTGCACTGAAATAAAGGCTATCTTCAGAGAAGGTAATTTAAGAAAATATTTAATTAAATTTTGGCTTTCATTTATTTTGATTAATCTGAGATTTATCAACCAAATGTAGATAAGAGTTGAAGGATTTATCTAAAGATAATAGATTTTACAAAATAATTCATTAATTTAATATCAATGACAATGCTAGTCAAAAATGAAAGGATCTTTGAGATCCGCAACTTAGAAATACAGAATTTATAAAATACTTAAAAATCTATAATATATCATTTCTTTTTCAGTGTATTTTTGCATGTCTAGTGTACGTGCAGTGTATCTGTGTGTGTTTATTTGACCCGTGTGTATTGGTGTTGAGCTGTTCCGCTCAGAACTGTCCGGATCACGTCCGTTTTGCCGCTTACGGAAACGTTTCGCATGTAGTTTACGGAGCAACTCCGCCCAGTGAGATATTCATCTTTCTCTATTGAAATATTCGGCGCATCACTGGGTGGCAATTTTCAAAAATTTTCGGCTGCAAACTCATCGCTGTCACTTGCTGGATGAGGCTCTATAAATTGCCTTTCCGTTTAACTCCCTCCATGGTCCTCTGGTACTATTTGCATGTAAAACTCAAGAAGAACTCTTGAAATCACAGATTATCAATGACCAAATATTCTTTGAGTAAGCATTGAACTGCTATCAAAGTTTCTGTCATATTTATGCTGTTATTTAAATTAATTAAATTGTAATGAAGTTTATTCTTAATTCTATCTAAAAATCTTTGTTTAAGGCATTTTTCAAAGCAAATAGTAGAATATATATTATTAGGGTTTTTACTTTAAAGTCCACAGTTAGGAAATCGTAACAGAATAATTTATTATTCAAGTTTAGGTATTTTTATACCCCAAAATGTAGATAGAGTTGATTTAAGCAATGAAATAAAAATCATTCTATTTTCTTCGCAATCTGGGGGCCATAAACATTAGTGGCATTAGTTTTTCACTAAATTCATTTCGATTGCCCATTTGTTTATGTTTTTTATCATAAAAAAAAAAAATTAGAGAAGAGGAAATTCAACTGCAGCAAAGCCATTTTGGCAGCAAAGCTTTTATTAGTTTAGTTTTCGAAATTAAACGTATTTGCATGTCGGGCTGTCACACACACTCACGTTCCGAATAAAAAACTTTTGCATTTTGCATGTGTGTGTGTGTGTGTCTAGTTGATGTATTTTTTGCTGTTGCAAATGTTATAATATTGTTGCATGATGCCTTTGGTGTCTTTTGTCGACGGTTTGGTAATAGTTGTTGTTGATTTGCTTGGCTTTTGCCTGCTACCACTGCCGAGTGTACAATTTAATTGCTTTTTGGGTTTTTGTTTGGGCCACACACACATATAGCAATAGAATGCGTGTGAATATGACGGAACTGGTTGTCGTCTAACAATTTTTGGAATTGCATTGGACAGCAAAAGAAAATCCAGTTGAAATTTCACGCCACAAGGGCACAAAGAGAGGGAATGATAGTTGGGAAAATCAAGAGAGGGCTGTGTGCCTGCTACAATATTTTGCTTTTAACTTGAAATCTATAGTTTAAATGTCATTTGGACTTGAATATGAATGCACAGAAAAAAATAATGAAGAGTTTACGTTAAAAATTTATAGACATAAAAGCTATTGAAGGAGAGAATTTTCTTGAATACAAAAATTAAGTAAGTAAAACCTATTAAATTTATATACAATATTTTAAATATTAATCTTACACATTTAGATTATGAATCACGTATGTATTTATATTGAATTCATATTAAATTGACTCAATTTCTGCCAGTGCTTTCCCACTCACCCTCTTCATCTTTAGCTGGTGTCAACGGAAACCGTCGCAGTGTTTGTTAGTTGGCTGCCATCGAAATTCCGGATTCAACAGCAAAGTAACCAAAATGCAATTGTTTTGCAATTGGCATTTTGACCACATTCTGACACCCATATGGCCTGGCACTGGCAGCGGCGATGGCGATGTCGGTGGCAATGGCAATGGCACTGGCAGGCACTGTAAATTTCGAAAAACTAAATATGCACAGACATGCGCAAATGTGTGTGCGAAGTTTGCGTAATTTAGTTAGCATTTCAAATGTTTTTCCATTGCGAGCATTAGGCCCAGGACATTTTCTGTCGATATGCCGAAAAATTCTTAATTGAAAATGAATTTGGTTTCGGCAAAGTGCTGCGTTCTAGCACTGGCCAATCTTTTTCCGTTGCCTTGTTTTGCTTTCTACTAATTCGGATTGTTTTGTGTTTTATCTGGATGTGATGGCAATTCGAGCGGCGAGGGGTTGGGTATGATGGAGTACAGAGGGCCGTTGGCAGACATTTGCATATTTTCAGAGCCTGCAGTCGAGTGCTGTTATCCTTTGGCACAGCTGCGCCTCTGTTTACTTAGTGTCGCTGAATCTGTATCTGAATCCGAATCTGAATCGGGCACCGGCCATCCTCTCCTCTATCGGCCGGAAGAATGGCAGGAACATCAACAACACACGAGGCTGGGCAAATACAAAAATTCTAGTCTACATATTCGACAATGAACGGAGCGAATGCCTCTGCTAGGTCCCTGAATTTGATGAATGTAGGAATAGCCGGAGCATCGAGGCACTCTTATCCTCAACTGCTTTCGGATATTTACACAGGGATAAAAGGATTATATATGGCAAATTGAAATAATAATACTTAAATCAAGAATTATGTAAAGATACAAATGTTATTTATTTACGTAACTGAAAAATAATTATGAATATTCTATTTAAACAAATGTTTATATTTAAGTAGAGCTCAAAACATTTGTTTTTTTTGTTAGAAAAACACAGTAAAAAGGAAATGTTGAAAGTGTAAATTTAATTAGCCACCAAACATGCATTTTAATACCCCTGAAATATTTTAAGATGAGAATCCACAATTATATTGGTTACAAAAAAATAGGTAGCCAAAGTTTCCCCAGTGTGGATGCCGTTGGGTATTTATTTCAAATATAATAGATGGGTATGCCAGATATATAGACGGACAACTGGACAGGCCGGAGGCTTCATTTGGATGCTGCTGGCCATATTTGCCGTTATGCATGCAAATTGCACTAATGAGCGTCGCAAAATTTTGCATAGACAAATGCCTGAAAATGTCGAGAGGCGGCAGGGATGCTGAATCTCCAGCAGCAGCAGCATGCTTAAAAGAACCAACCAACCAGCCCTTAAATGAGGTCGACCTCGAGGAGCCGAGTAGAGACCACAAAAGTTTCCCCCATCGCCAGCTGGAGGGCAGTTTTCACGCACGGTTTGCCCCGTCCACGGAGCTGTGACAGCTTTTTGCAACTGCATCTAAAGCTGGAGCTACTTCTGGTGCTGCTCCAAGTGCTCCTGCTCCTGCTGCTGCTGCTGCTGCTGCCATTTTTGCTCATTAGAGTAAATGCACTTAATTAGAGCATGCCAGCCATCGGGGTTTTCACCGAAAGAAAAAAAAAAACACTAAAGAGGAGCCGGGCAACGGCTATGATTACGCCGTTTTTAATAACAAAGATGGCAACAACTGAGGGCCAGGAAAAAACAATGCAGTTTACACTTTAAATGAGTGCAAATAAATAAATGGCTAAGCGAAATGCGACAAATAGCTGGGAAATGGCTTACAAAGTTGCGCATTTTAGTGGCCACTGGCCACCAGTAACCACTAACCATTCCCCACTGGCCACTGGCCACTGGCCACACACACTCCTTTGACCAGTAATTTGGTTGCGACAGGACCCCGACTTACTTTGCATTTCCCGGCAATTGTTGTTGGGCATCATTAGCGCACGGGTAGTGTGTGGTTCCGGCGGATAAAGTATACTGAGAAAAATAAATAATACTTTTAGATACATTTTAAAACAGAAAGTATTTATTTTAAATCAATGAGTGACTAGAAATCGTTTAATATAAGATATATTTTATCAAGTAAATTTATTCTGCTCATCAACCTAGATCTCATTCTTAGTAGTTTATTTTTTTCTCTGTTTACTGGCACGAATTTCAGCCGCTGATTGCAATTGCAGACTGCTTACTTCGGTGAAGTCATTAAACATCATTAAAATTGATTGCACTGGGCAGGCTTACTTAACGCCGCTGCAACATTGT